CCTATATGAAATTAGCTCGTGAACTACCTTCCAAATACTACACACCTTTCCAGTACTTAATTAGAGATTTTGACCCTTAACCTTGTACCTTACTCAATGATCACTTATGAAAACTATGGTTCAGCCTACCCCATATTGTTTCAACTAAAAAACCTAAAAGAGAAAACTTAAACAACTTCTCAATCAGGAGGCAACTTACTCATTAAAGAGTTTTCAACTTTTGGCCTCTTGAGGCACTACAACGGATATACACACATTGAGATATTAAATTTTCAAGAATAAATTTTCTCTCCTCTAGTTTTTATGCAACTTCAACTTTAAAACATGCACACATGTCTATCATGACTTATTTTTATTTTTTCTCTTTAACAAATTTCAAGAGCTTCAACGTTTCTTTCTTGTTTGATCTTTAAGGAATAATACATTTAATGAAATTAAATGTTAGTCTCATTTGGAACCATTCATTTAATGCATAGAGAGAGACTGTATGTTTCATCTGATTTCCTTCATCTTACAGAAGATGTACATTTTTCACATTTTGTCTGATATAGCGTTTCTTGTAGATATTTGACTTTGTTTCAAAAGAAGATATTTTGTTTGTTAACATTAAAACTTAAGGGATCCAAGATTTTCTTTTAACTTAACACAAGATCGTCTTTTTGACTTAATAAAAACTTATTCTAAGCAAACACAATTCACTCTAAGCACTCAACTAAGCGCACAAACGAGCCAAGTCAGAGACCACCCCTGAAATGGTCGCATCATTTTGCTTGAGCAAATGAGTTCTCACTCTAAGTGATAAAATTAGCTTAGAGCGACTAAGTAAACGTTCCAAGTGACTCAAGTCACAGGCCACCTCTGAAAGGGATGCACCAACTCACTTGAGCATGCTGCATGGTGCTTTGAGCAAACAAGCCCAACAATCATGCATGATCCAAGAACAAGTTCATCAAACTCAACTGAAAAACCTAACAATTGAAAATCCTCTCATCCAATATTATAATTCATGCATGAAACTTGGAATCCACCATTTATTAGCATCATAGAACTCATAAATTAAAAGAAATGCAACATGCATCAACAACGTAATACAAGATCATTCATTTTTCTACATTCACCAAGAAACCTCACACTACAAGAAATTTTGAAATTACAGACGACCAAAATCCGTGGGTAATCCAAAAAATCCATGGGTAACACTTCATTTTCGACGAATTACAGATGGACAATAATCCGTTGAAAAATTGCTCATCTAAAACATTTACCGATGGATTATAATCCGTGGGTAACTTTCTGACAGAATTACCCACGGATTTTATCCGTGAGTATTGTTGATAATATTTTTAAAAAAATATTTTGAAATTATATTAAATAACATCCTTATATAGTGCAACCATCCCTCGTATCTGACATTTCAACAGCTTCACTCCATGACACTTCACGCAACTCCTTGTTGGTCAGAACCCTTCACCAATCAGAGCTCTCCATGGGTAACCCTTTTTGAGATATTCGTATGCTTTTAGGATCAAAGATTGATCCCACAAACCTCACAAATTAACACAAGACTTTTCAGTGTGTCTTGTCGTCACTTGCACATTTTTCTGGAAAACTTCCCAAAAGGTCACCCATCCCTAAAATACCCCATGTTAAACACGTTTAACTGTGAAGTTTTTAAGGAATAAGCTACCAAAAAGTAGATGCATCTCATTGGTATAAATAGTACAAATTAATTCCTTTAAGTTATCTTCAACTATACAATCTCATACTTATACAATCTTTGAATCTCTCTCATTCCAGTATATTTTACAAATTACAATATAATATAATACTATAATTTTTTATCTAAATTAAAAAATATTAATATTTTAGTTTGTGTATTTCACAAGTTACATTTTTGTTTATTATAATTAAAATTTATAATAAATTATATATAAAAATAAATATTATAGTTAAATCAATAAATCATATTTAAAATTTGTATAAATATATATTAAATGAAAATTAGTAACTAATCAAAGAATAATTAACTTCTATATATAAAGCACAAATGTCTTTCTTGTACCATAGCGTTTTTAGATACTTTTCTTTAACTATAAGAATTTTACATATTTTTTATCTAATTTAGTTTTTATTTATCATTATTACTTATAAATTAAATTTATTATTTTTAACATAAATTATTAATAAAAAATAATTTCCCACAGATACATCTGTAGGTAATTCCGTGATAATTATCTAATTTACTTTTTATTTATCATAATTACTTATAAATTAATTTTATTATTTTAACATAAATTATAAATAAAAAATAATTATCCACGGATTTATCCATGGGTAATTACCGACAGATAAATCCGTCGGTAATTATCTAATTTAATAAATTATTAATAAAAAAATCCGTGGGTAATTACCCACGGATTTATCCGTCAGTAATTACCCACGGATAAATCCAAGGGTAATTATCTAATTTAATTTTTATTTATCATGATTACTTATGAATTAATTTTATTATTTTTAAAATAAATTATTAATAAAAAATAATTACCCACGAGTACGTCCATCGATAATAACATCGATAATTTCGTGGGTATTGTTGATAATATTTTAAAAAAATCATTTTAAAATTATATTAAATAATACTCTTGTTTTATTAAAAATAATATAGTTCTAAATTGGTAAAATTATTATAAATGTTAAGAAATTATCTTTTAATTTTAGACTATCATGCGTCAATATCATTTCACTAATTATATATTTCTCAATTTAAATAAAATTAACTATATAATATTAAAATATATTGATAGTTAATTATTATTTTATACTATCATTTAATTATAAATTTTATATATATAATAGTTGGTATGGTGAATTAATTAGCATGAGAAAATTAGTTAAGTATTTAAGAATTTAATTTGTTAATTTTATCATTAAATTTTTTAAAGTTATTGACAATTTTTTTTTCATTTTATATGAACAATGTTTTAGACAGATAATCTGTGGGAAGTATCTGTCTGAAACATCATAATTTTCTCACAAAAAAATTCGTAGGTAATATCCGTCGGAATCAATTATGTTTCAAATGGACACATATCTGTCAGAAAAATCCGTCGGTAATATTATTTTTCAGACAGATATTTATCTATGGAAAAAAGTCCGTCGATAATAAGTATTTTTTTTTGTAGTGTCATGAACAAGAATACTAAGGTCCCACTTTCAATTTCAACTTAAATATTTTCCAAAGCATAAATGAACATAATAAAAGCAACAAATACAATGTAGAAGATTAAATAACAAGCTTCCCTTATGTCGAATAGCTCAAAAACAAGAAAGGAAAGGAAAAAAGTCAAAAAATGAAGGCTCCCTAAGAGTTCGTCATAGGACAACCTTGACTTTTGATTCATAGTTTCCTAGCTTTTAATCTCCAATCAAAACCACAACTTTGCTACAAGGAAGGAATGTGACGCTTTCATGGAGTCATAAGAAGAAAAAAACTCTTCTGACCCCGAAGTCTATCTCTCTAAAACTTATTTATAGATTTTTTAGTATATGAACTTATGAAGTTTAAGCCTTAAGAAAGCCTTAATTATCTTCTCCCAAATTTGGTCAAGTTTAATTCTAACTTAAAACAACTCAAAACAACTTAACTTTCAATGATCATTTGACCCTTAAAGTTCTTAACCAATAACAATTAAAACATAACCACATTTAAAATAACACATAACATATATTTAAATAATAAAGCAATAAAAGCATGTAGTGTTACATTATATTTATGAAACTAGTATTTTAACTTGTTCAAGATACTTACTTGTTTATTACATATAACTAAGTTTTATAATATATATAAATAAATATTATGTTCGAATATATAAATTATATTATAGATTTATGATAAATAATATATATTGAAATAAGAAATTTATTTTTATTTATTGATAATTTATTTTAAAATATTAAAATAATTTATAAATAATTATGATAAATAAAAATCAAATTAAATAAAGTATTTAAAAAAATCCTTACAAACTCTCTCATTGAAAAAATCTCCTATAAATACTTTCACACAAAATAAATATTTGTGTTTAATATATAACATTTAATTAATGACGGTGGTATTATCACAATTATTTTATATATATATATATATATATATATACTTCCGATCTATATATATATATATTATGTGGAACTTAGAGAGTGAAACTTCTACTCTCTATACTCTTTTAATCAAACATTCTTTTTACTCCTTTTTGAAATACATTTCACATACTAATTTTGTTTATAATCTAAAGAGATGAAAGAGAGAGTAAAGAGAAATAAAACATTTTAAAAATATTTAAAAAAAAACATTAATTTAATGAATAAATAGGATATTTATCCATAATAAAAAATATTCATGAATGAATTAAATAATATTTTTCTATAAATGAAATGGATGAATTGAAATTTAATGGATTCAAATTGATTCATGAATTATTTTTATCACATGCATAATTTGTCTAAAATATCATAGATTCATCTATTTTTCACCCTTAGTCTCTATAAGAAAAAAAACCCGTGGATAATTATTATTTTTAAAGAGAATAAATATTTTTTTATTCACATTTTTTTTTATTTCATTTAAAAAGATATATTAATGGAAAAAAAATTAGAATACAACAACATAGGGATTTAAGCGTCTTTCAAAAAGATATACGAGTTTCTTTAATAAAATAATAATTATTTTCCTTAATTTATCTATATATAAATTATTTAATCATTATAATTAAAAATAATATATTGATTAAAAAAGAATTATTTTAGCAATATTATATTAAAAAATTGTGTCTAAATATCTCAAGTTGCAGCTATTATGTGATAGAAAATGTATACATAAATACTAATAAAATAGAATATTTGTAATTAAACATTTTCATAACTTAGGTGGTAGTTATGATGTACTGATCCCCTATATGAAATAATATAATATAAAATTTTCTTTCTAACTGACAAATTTCGAATTGCTTTTTATTTCTTCGTCCACTCCTGGCTTCGTCTGTCTCTCTCTTTCTCTGCGGCAACAAACAAAGCTAACACCTTATTTTCTCTCACTACTCCAACGAACAAACAAACACCTCTTTCTCTCTCTCTCTCTCTCTGCTTACGCTTCTCTCTCTAGGGTTTGGAGCTTCCACGCCAACACTCCCTCACGAGAGAGAAGCGTCTTACGCAGAATTTCAGTAGGGTTTTTGCTCCTCCTTCATGCGAATTCCATTCAAACTCCCACTCATTGTGATCGAGCGAGTTTCGCTTTTCACCGTCGCACGAAGAAGGGCCTGCTACCTCGAGCTCGGAATTTCGTTTCGCGAAGGGAATTCGTCGTCGATTTCGCTTGCTTGCTGAGGTGCGTTTGCTGCTGTTCCACTCTCTTGTTCAATTTTGTTTGTGAATTCTTGAGCTTCGGTTGAGAATGTTGAGCTGAATTCTTCTAGCTTTGGTGTGTGAACTTTGAACCTGTGTTGCTCCTTGGAGTTGGGATGATATGAGCGAGTGAGAGTGAGGGTGTTTGTGGGAGAGAGAGAAGCAGAGTATTTAGTTATTTATTAAAAAAAAAATTAGGTGTATGGTTAACTGAGTTGGAGGGAAAAGAAAATGAAAATTCACCTGGGTATCTTTTTGTTGGGTTTGGAGAATTAGATGATTATGATGTTTGACAAGGTTTTTATAAAGGTTTTACGAACGTAAAGGATTTTGGAGTGGTAAGTGATACCCGAACAAATTGTGTCTGCATGGCGGCATTTGTCTACAATTTCTCACAACATCATGGGTACTTTGACTGCTACCGTAATTTAGACCTTGGTGTTTTAACAATACGCTAGTAGAGATTTCCTTTTATTTGCTTTTAAGAAATCTTGCTGAGGCATGTTGGCTTAATACTATGATTGCTGCTGTTTCAATGGTGCAGGTAGAAGAATTATAGGCACTGATATATGTAGATAGTAGTGGCTTATTTGAATTATACTGTGGCAAGCCTGGTGGCCGAATGTTGCTTGGTGCTGCTCAATGATAGTTGCTATGGATTTGAATGCCTCGCCTGTGCCGGAGGAAGATGAAGATGCTTTTGAGAGCCAGGTCGAAGAGTACCATGCGCCAGAAGAGCGCATGGAAACTTCAGTTGATATTGCTCGCCGGGTATCCTTTCCTCTATTGTTATGCTTTTTCCTCCACTTGATGATGTCATGGTGGTCTAAGTTGGCTTTGATTTATGGTACCGTGGACTGCTGTGATGGTAGTTTCACATTTATTGTAGTTTCACATTTATTGTTATATTACATATATAAGTTATTTTCATGTAGATTTTTGTCGAGTTTGGTTGAGACCCTTACTTTCATTTTAATGGGTCATTTTAGTGTTAAATTGACTTGACTATACTATATGGCTGTATGAACAATTATGCATATAATCTTTGTGAATCTGGATGCTAAATTTTAATATTGCTGATGTTGGATAGAAGTTGTAAATTTGGATGCTACCATCCCCTGGCATGGAACAAGATCAATTTATATAATTTATAATTTTTGTAAAGTGCTGTTGGAAACTTGGAAGTAATTAAATCATATATCCTGCAATCATAGTAGTCAATAGCATTCTATAGAGGGATAGTAGAGCAGCCTTGGGCGATTTTGGGGTTCAAAATAGCTGATATTCACATGTTATGGCGGTACTACAATTATATGGTCTTCAAAAACCCATTTTTATTAGAATCAAGTAAGCTGATTCTAGTAGATGTCCCTGTAGTTATTAGAATTTGATGATTCACAATTCGAATTCTACAATTTGAATTTTGATACAATTTGGATACATATTGATTCATATCATAAGATAAGTCTCAAATGACTTTGTATCTTACATAAAAGAATCTATGCAATTTCGTATCATCAATATGATTTTCACATGATTCAACAATTCGTTATTTATTCTTTTCTTGTTTACTTTCACCCATTCTCATTAAAGAAAATGAAAACCTTATTTAAAACTATTTTTTTTATTTTGTAAAAAAATACATAAAAAATTAAATGTTAAACTGTATATTAATACAAATTAAAAATATAAGTAATATGTACATATATAATATGCTTGCAATTGATATCACAAAATAATATATGTAATATCTACATAGATATTATATTATTAAATATATAATTTAAAATTAATAATATACTATAAAAGTTATTTAAGTTGTATATATTA